CAGTCTAGGATTGACAAACAAGCAGCATCAGAACGGTTTCTTAAGAGTTTTCTGCATCACGAAAACACAACAAGAAATCCAGTTTTTGCGTTAATAATTAGTCACCGTGTAACGAGAGCAGCAGCGACCTGAGAGCAGTGTCACGAGTCCACATACAGTGAACTGAAAAGAAGACAGTGCAGCAGGTCAGTTAGGTTTTGATTTACAAATACGTTGTACTACAAAAAAGAAAAAAAAAATCAACTGAGGAAATAAAACTTTGGATAAAAGCGTCTGCTTAATTTATTTGTAATGTTATGTCAAAATATGATTTGATTTTATTTTGTATAAATGTTAAATGTGAATACAATTTTCCATAGCAATGTTTTGGATCTGTCATATTTACCTGGGTGTTATGGTTGGAAAATTTCCTTCACAAGAATTGTTTTGGAGGAAGAAAACTAGACTTTAAAAATATACGTATATATATTTAATATTAGTTTTTATATTTTATGTTAAGAATTTATTTTTTACTTATTCTGGTCTAGTTTAGTTATGTTATTTACTTGTAAATGCATTTTCTGTTTCTTCTTATTGTATGAATTGGGGTGGAAAGAAGGGGGAAAAAATTGGGGACATTTCTGTGAAATTCTTTGCAGTAAAAAAGTTGGAAATAAATACATTCCATGGCAAAAAAAAAAAATCATGTTATATCTATGATTTTTATATTGTTTTATATTGTTTTTAATGAATAATTAATATCTTATAATATTATTGATAAGTTACAATGTTATTTTTTTTTTCCATATTTACCACAGCACCAAGCCAGTAGGTCGCTTTCAGGCTTGTCAGATCACCATCGCCGGTGCCCAGTCCAATACTGACAAAACCCACCAAGATCTGAATGGTCTGAGATTCAGTAGTAAACAAAAAAAAAAAAAAAAAAAATCACACTTTACTATCAACAACAAAATAATTAAAAGCATAGTTCAGGCCTTGTAAAATAAAACTACCATAAAATACAATAAAAAATAAAAATCTCAAAATAATTTTGAAATTTTTATTTTGAAATTTGAAAGTTTTAAAGTTTCAAAATAAAAATGTCAACTAAATAAATAAGACCCCCATGCTGTGAAGTCACTTTGAAACATGGATGGACAGCCTTGATATGCTGTCATAATAAAAACAAAAACAAAAACGTCCGGTCGTTTCTCACCCCGAGTGCTGCAGCTACGTTCTGCTGCATCTGATCGTCGCATGAGCAGCATCCTGTGATTTGGCAAAGAAGCTTCAGGATGAATTGCAGAGGAAGACACAGATTCTGATTCTCGGAGGTGACAGTAACCACAGGCTGCGGTTTGTTTTTGACGACTGCGACTGTCATTTCCTTGCTGTTGTTGTTTGATATCTGGCAGAAAATTGAAATAGAAAATGAATTAAAAAAAATAAAAATAAAAACAACACACCTGTCGAAGAAAACCTGCAAGAAAAATGTTAGACATTATTTTAGGATTTTTTTTTTTTTTCAAATTCGGATATGAAATAATGTTTTAATTAACTTAACTTAAAGGTGGGAAGAAAATTCAACATAATTAAATGTATACATTTTAGTGTACAAAACACTTAGCTTTATTTTTATTTTTTTTTTATTCTATTCTATTCTATTTATCGATTTGCGTGTGCCCCAAAAACTTACCAACCGCCAAAAGTCTGCACCTGCAAATGGTTCGTGGTAGAGAAATCAGACTACGTCATGAAAGAAATGATGCTTCCTGCCAACGCTTACATATTTTTCAAAATAAAAGCACCAACAACTCCGGGTTTTGAACCATGGCATTCAGAAAAAGCTCTCCATCAACAGCGCAATACCACTAATAATATGAGTCGGCTTTATATTTATCGATTTGCATGTGCCCCAAAAACTCACTACACGCCAAAAGTCTGCACCTGCAAATGGTTCGTGGTAGAGAAATCAGACTACGTCAATAAAATTTACCCTTTTTTTGCCAACGCTTATATGTTTCTTCAAAATAAAAGCACCAATAATTCTCAGTTTTACAACATGACGGGTACAGTGGAAAAATGTGCTTCATTTTTACCACTTTACTTCTAGAATCTAGTCATATCCGTTTACTTTCGTTTGAAGATATTTTCAAAACAATAGGTCATTCAGACTCCAACACTAACTGAATAAAGTCTAAAATATTATTTATTTTGTAAGTTTAAAGCTCTTTCAGCGACTACTGCTCCGTTGTAATGACCGGAACCAGCCAACTGACCCTTAGTCCACAAAAAGGTCCTAAAATTGTCCTAAAATTGAACGGGGGAGGGGGGGACAGGAGCAGATACAGTAGATGGAGCATTGGTGTAAACTAAGAAAAATTATGCATAAAGGCTAAAATGCTAAAATGATTTTAGCATTTTCTACGCCATCTATTGGGGAAACGTGGGTATTGCAGGGAAAGGGCAGAAGTATAAAATAAAATAAAAGCGTAAAGAAGAAATTAAATTGTATGAAAGTGAAACATTAGAAAAGAATAACAGGCGATGGCTGAGCCAACGCAGAAAGTACTATCACATGGAAGTAATTGGACGATTTATAAAAACTGCACATCGGCAACTCTGGGTGTATTGAGCGGCAATAGTTTAATGTCACATCAGATTTTTTTTTTTTTTTTTTACAAAATAGTAAACTTAAACGTCAAAGACAATACTAAACACATGTATTACCTTTACTAAAAAAGAAAAAGCTAATAGACAAATTGCAAGGATAAACAAATAGATACCGCAGATGGATGTACTTTATTGATCCGAGGTTGGGAAACTAGAGCCTGGGATGAGACAGTAAAGATGTTTTTGTGATCTACATTCATTTCACTAATTAAAGAGCTGGGAAAAAATAATACAAAACATTTGTATAAAAGTAATATATATATATATATATATGCGTCAATGATTAAATGATCCGACTGCAATGGGATTACTGTTCATGCACCTGATAATACGAGTTAATCTGTGTTGACCTCCTCCAGGAGTGGTTGGTGAAGCGCTGGTTCATCAGCGATCTGTAACAGGGGAACAAGAACGGAAAAACCTTAGAGAATGTTTTTAGACTGCACTTCGATTTAGGTTAGAAATCATGAATATGTAGCATCATATTGAGCGGAACCTCGGTTGTTCGTTGCTTCTTTTTTCGAACAATTCGGCACAAGAATAAAAAAATTGCCCCGCTCGTCTCACCATAACTCTGTTGCCAAACAAGCCAACAACACTGAGTGGCTGAGCGTGCGGCATCAGTTGTGCCTCAGCCCGTGCTCTGGATATACAGTTGGTACCAAAAGTTTTCAGACCCCCTTAAATTTTTCACTTTGTTATATCGCAGCCATTTGCTAAAATCTAAAAAAAGTTCATTTTTTTCCTCATTAATGTACACACAGCACCCCATATTGACAGAAAAAGAGACTGCTGCCCCCTCGCCCCCCCGACGCGGTAACAGATAAGCGGATGAAAATGGATGGATGGATGGATTTAAGGTGGTCTGAATACTTTCCTATCGCGGTTGTTGCCTTCCAAGACCCCCCGCAAAATAGGGGAAAATCCGCAAACCCTCCCTTTTCCACACAATTCTATGCACAGTAGAGTTGTATAATGGAAAATTTAACACATACATATTACGTAAATAAATGACGCAGGTGAAGCCCCGGACGGAGGTGAGCATGTTTTGAGTAATCAAGCCTGAACAGAGGAGTGCATACTGGCCAAGACGGACGGACCGTATATGAAAGAAAAAAAATAAAAGGAGCGTTTAGGAGGCACCGTAGGGCGTTAAATTTGGGTCAACTTTCACCAAACACAAGAGCACAAACTTTACAGCAACGTCCTGTAGTGGCGGACAGACAAGGGGAGACGCTGAGAGACGCTACGATGCATGAGCCAATCAGCGTGAGGAACACAATGCTGCGTTAGCTCTCCTCTAGGTAAACAAAGGTATCCGCGATGTCTTTTAGTTTATTTTTTGCTTTATTTTTTACAGTTTAGGTTAAAAAATGTTTTTTTTTATATCATGAAAATGATACGCGAGATTGGAATAAAACAAGTTGCAAGTCCTGTATATAGAATCAATCACTTCTGGATAAACGAAAAGTAAAAGTGTAAAATTATTTCACATAATCTACCTCCAGTCGTGCCTTGTTGTGGTGAACAAGAGCCTTTATTCCCAAAACTGTAGAGCTGATTGTCACACAGAGCTCCAGAACAGACAGGACAATGAGCACGGAGTGGATGCTTTGAGACAACATCTGGAAAGACACCGAGCACGCACAAACACACACAGACTCACAGCATTACAAAATTGCAGATTAATGTTCTCAATAAGCAAAATACTCTGTTTTTGGCAATAAAATGTTTGTTTTCAATCTCACACACATGGGTTTCATGAAAAGTTAATACCATATATATTAATACATATTAATTATGTATTTCTTCAGAAATATGTATCTCCCAGGTTCATTTTTCCAAAGGATGAAAAACTTATGTGCGACTTATGCGTGTTATTATTTTTGCATAATCTTTTGTTTTTTTTGTTTGTTTTTTTTTTTAGAAGACTACTCTAAAGCCTAGGAGTTGACGATATCATTCATAGATATGACAGTTTAAGCCAAGTTGTATAATAATAAAAAAAAAGAAAAGAAATTTACTCACCACAACAAGATGTTTGCCTTCTAAACATTTCTCCATGGACTCTGGAGACAGTGTCACATCGGTGTAGTCGTATCGGTCATTAGAACACATCCAGCGAAACCATAAGCCGGTCAAATCAACAATGTACAAAGTGATGGCCGTGATGGCAAAAATCACTCCTGCCATGTTCAAAATCACATTTAAGGTCACCTGAAAAAACAAGAGAAGACATGGCCACATGATTTTTCAAATTCTGTTTCATTTTTTATTTCAATTTCTTTATTTCTTTATTTCATTCTAAAGCAACATTCTTAAGCAAAAAAAAAACATTACATACTTACCAGACATGGACTCGGGAAGTTCTCTGACAAAATACACATAATGCCAAAAAGCATAAACTACGGAAGAGAAACAAATCTTTTCATGACAATGTTACATACAAAGATTCAGATTTCATTTCATTTAGCAATAAAGTTAATGAAATAACTTTTATTAAAAATAAATCTGTGCCGCTTACCAGTACCCCCAACCAAACAGAATACTTGGTATCGTCCATCATCCAGCTGGATGTATTTGATGCCATAAGAATGACTCCAAGGCCAATGTTGAGCAATCCAACCATGATCTGTATAGTCTGTCCAGAAGAAGAATTTGTGAACAGATGACATTGGAATCTGTAAACATCATGGTCTTTAGAGATTTCTGCCTGTCCTAATTTTCATACAATTTTCACAGCACACGAGATTCCCAAACTGAGAGTTTCCCAAACACCCCATCGTTGCAACTGACAAATCTTTCCTTTCCATCTGGATGCATCGCTACCCATTCATTGTTTGCAAATATAATGGGTGTCAGTTGATAAAGTACTAATAAATATTTGTACAGTGTTCCCTCTCCTATCGCAGTAGTCGCGTTCTAAGAGCCACCGGGAAATGGGAAAGATCGCGAAGTGGAGGCCAGATAGTTATATAATTTACGTAATTTACAGTATATTAACCCTTTATGAACCTCCCCCACTCTGTTATCAATAGTCCAGTGGTTCTCAAACCCCTCTCTAATGGTACGCAGGGAAAAACCATACTTGGATTAATTTGACGTAATCCTAATTTCTTTCTTTTTTTTTCTTTTTTTTTTTTTCTGCAAAAACTGAGAAGTAAATGGTGATTTCTGATATTGATTCTTAGGTTTCATTAGCTGAAAGCCCAAATTATGTAAAAATAAAGAACTAAATACTGGAAATCATTATGGAAATAAATAAACTTTTCCATGATATTCTGATTTTTTTGGAAAGGGTCTGTACATATGTTTTGTTTTTGTTTTTTTTTTTGGATTACCCTGTATTTTATGTTGCGAAATGTCTTTTCATTTATTTATTTTCCTGTTTTGGCTTGAAAATTATTATTTTTCATTTCTAAAATATTTATTTTATTTAGTGTTTTTGAACACTTGTTTTTATACTGAATCATCATTTTGTTCATCATTGTAAAGTAACAAAAAGTCCAACGAGCCACTTGGGATCACAGACGAGCAAACCAGCCACAGCAATCGCGGCGGACCTCACACTTACACAAACACGTTCAGTGACGCTCATTTTTCAATACTTTCAAATCAGAGCAAACATATTCATTATACTTACTCCTAGCAGTGTCTGAGATTTACCCCCGGCACTCTTCATGTGTTTGGACACCGAGCAGCACACTGGGCTGTAGCAAAGAGCCCTCAAGATTTGGCACAGTGGAGGCAAATTGCTCTGGGGGTCGAAGGTCAAAGTGAACATTGTGACCCCCTCACCCTTGGTCATGGAGACAGACATCTTCCCTGGATGCAATAACAGATCCAAAAAATTTGAACTCACAGACATTTGGTGTATCTTCATTAACCAGCATCACAAATATACACCCAAATATAAATGTAAAGAAATTCAGACCTACTAAATGTATGCTTACCCTGTTAACACATTATGTAGTGTTTAAAATTAATCCCTTATATGCTAGCTTACACTACTTTTTTTTATTAAGATTTGGGTGTGGTCTGGGCCCAACTAAACTAAACGTGAAAACCATAAATGTAATAATTTGGCCATATGTGAATGATTCATAATCAAACTTAATCAAACTTAAGTTTTTTTTTTGTCAAAGGTATGATAAAAAATACTGTTTTGTCCTTAAAATATTGTAAAAAAAAAAAAGTACTGTTTTGTCCTTACAAAATTGTAAAAAAAAAAAAAAAAAAAAAAAAAAAAAATGTCCAAAAATCACGAGTTTTTATTCGCTTTTCAAGTTCGATCTT